TAATTATGATCATCCATGGTACCATTTTAAGTTGATTGAGTCGGTACATTGGTGATGTAAGTTTACATGTACAAGCAAATCGATCAATAATAGCCATAAGCAAAAAATTAACTGATAAATGAGGAAGAAATGCAAGAAGAAAAAGATTAAGTTTACATGTAATACGTGAAGTATACCATGGTATATAAATTTTATATTTTGCACCAAGATAATTTGGAAATAGATTGAGAGAAAGATTTATAATATCAATAATTGAACCACAAAGTGAATAAATACAACAAGTATTAGAACGAAGTTCACTTTGAAGATATGTAAACATATTTCCAATGAATCCAATAAAACCAAAGATAAGAAAGATCAATGGAAGATAGATGAGAAACCTTTGTGTCACTAGATTAAGATCATTAACAATCGATTTCGATATTAATGATACATTAATTGTAGTTATAGTATTATTAGAATCCATCTTAAGAGCTTGGTTTCACGATAAAAAGTATGAAATATTGAAAGTAATAATAATTATAAAAAGATAACGTTATATAGTTTCTCTTTTTTTTCTATGATAAGAAGTTCCTGTGAGTTTAAAATAGAAAAGAAAAGCTTGCTAGCGCAGCCCCTTTGGGGTTGAAATGTCGAATTCACAGGTCTTCGTTAGCTTCATTATGCTAATAGATAATGCACAATGTGTAAAATATGATTGTTCTTTTCTAACTATAATCGATTGTCAGCCAACGATATCGTTTTTATTTCTATATTTCGAACAACAATTTTGTTTTTGTTTTTTTTTGACTGGTACTCTTTTTTATTTTTCTTGTTACTATTCGTTTAGTATTTATTTTCTTCAGTTTATTTCATTTTCATAAATTATTATCATTAGTCTAATTATTGCTTTAACGAATAAATAAGTCTATTGTACCCATTCGTTATATCTACTTCAGATCATAACGAGTTATTATGAATTTCGATGAAGTCTGAAACACTGATATTGATTGTTTTCGAAAGTTAGATGTTAATCAGTTCCTTTCTGGTAAATTAATAAACACTTAGAATATTTAGATTCCTTCTATTTATCT